GGTTAAGCGGACTGGAGTCGGGTTAAAGCGGACTGGAGTCGGATCGAAGCGGACTGGAGTCGGATCGAAGCGGACTGGAGTCGGATCGAAGCGGACTGTAGTCGGGCTAAAGCGGACTGGAGTTGGGCTAAAGCGGACTGGAGTCGGGCTAAAGCGGACTGGAGTCACATTGATATGCTGACATAATGCTGATGTGCATCAAAGCATCTCCACTTGCAGAAAGTTTCTCTTCTGTCTTTTTCTGGTTGGAAGCTCTGGTTCATGACAGACGGCCATCTGAAGGACGAAATGTCACATGTGACATCAGCAAGCAGCCGACTGATTTATGTCCTCTTTATTCTGTGTGTGTGTGTGTGTGTGTGTGTGTGTGAGGAAGTCTACAGCTGTGGTGTAATGCAGAGCAGATGCTCGAAGTGAAGCGAAAGTCTCAACAGAGCTGTAACCTTTGGTTTGACACAGACACACGTTGAGCGAACTGAGCGACGGTAAATCATCGCCGGCTCCTGCAGCCGTCCAACAAAAGCTAATGCATCAACGAGCCGACTCATCGCCTTCACTGAGAACATTACAACACAACCTTTTTTAGACAAAACCTCTGGCTGGAAAAAGGCAGGCAGGGCATTCCAACCAACACTGGAGGAAAAACACATTTAAAACCTTCTATCCTCGGATTTCTACGTCTATTTTCCATTTAACAAAAACGGCTCAAAGAAATATTCACTATCATGGGAAAGTATTCACACTGCTTGATCCTTTGTGACGTAAAAAAAAACATTGAACTTTATGTAACTACTTATTTGGACTTGATGGAATATTGACGGCAGACTTTAGATTTTTCACGAGAATCAAAGAGCAGAAGTTTTTAAAGAGACAGAGGCCCAATTTAAATGTGGATTCAAGTCATATTGATATAAAAAACAACAACCGAAGGAAACATGACTGGACCTGTTGTGGTAAAATATGTTTCTGGACGATTAATTGTCCCAGAAGTTATTGCGATAAATGATAATATTGTTGTTTTGCAGTCATAAAATTTAAATGCCATAATAATGCAAGAAGATCAATAAACCTTAAATTGTAATGAATATTTAATACTGGAACTGGAAGACATTTTAAATACCCAAAATAAATAAATAAAACAACTGAAAAACAAACAAAATGAATTATGAAGTTTCTGTAAACAAAATGATCCTTTAAAAAATGTTTAGTTGAGACCAAAACAACAGACTGAGGATTTTTTACCATCCAGTTTTTGGAAGAAAGAAAAACAATAAATCATGCAAATTATTGAGCTGGTTTTAATTTATCATTAATTGATTTATTGCTAATTGCAACAGGACTAATTCAGTCACCTCCTCAGTGATGTTTAACTGTCAGTGATGGAAATAAATTCAGGATCTCATTATGAAGCAAAACTTTTCTCCTTATAAAGATGCTAGTTTAATGTCTCGCTTTAGCAAGAAAGTTAATTTTGAAACATGAACTTGTTGTAATGATACGCAAACCTCGTTAAAATGACAAAGCGTTAGCGTGACCTTTAATGACTCCGGACTTACGTATGACCTCCACCTTGTAGGTGGCGTTGATCTGTCCGGCGCGGTTGGAGACGTGGCAGGTGTACTTCCCGCTGTGCTCCGGCGTCAGGTTCTTCAGGCTCAGCGTCCATCTCTTCTTCTTCTTCTTCTCTCCACCGGCGCCGCCGTCCTCCTCCGCCAGCGGCTTGCTGTCCTTCAGCCACACGATGTCCGGGTGCGGGTTCCCGCTCGCCGTGCACTTCAGCCGCACCGAGCTGCCCACCGGCCGCTCGATGACGCGCCGCCTCATCTTCGCCGGCTCGGTGAAACGAGGACGAACTGCAGACAGAACGGGACGAGAGGACAAATTTTAACTTCACAGCAGGGAAGAGCGGCTTGATCAATACCTCTGATACGTTTAAAATCAATTCTCAAATCAATATCAATACTTTCCACCCTTCCGTCATTTGAGGTGATGTATCTAAGCAAAAATAACGTTAAATTATTGAGATTTTTCCAAACAGGACGGGCTGAAGGGAACTACTTTTTCTTCCGCCTGGTAAAGTGAGTAATGGCGCTCATGTCGCTGCTCACGTTTCCATTCACCATGAAACTGCAGAAAGTGGAAATACAAAATAAATTTGCTTAATGGATACATGACAATTTAAAAAACACTCACTAAAAAGTTTTTGTGCGAGGATGAGGCGTTTTTTTGTGGGGTTTTTTTCCAGCTGAATCACATCAACAGGATGTTACTTCTGGCAGAAATGACAAAGAAGACGACAGGAAGTAGCTGGAGGATGATTTTAATGACTTGTTGAGTGAACAAACACATTCAAACACTGCAGCTGTGAAATTTATTTAGTTTTACATGAGCTGAACATCAAAGTTTTGCACACATTTGTAAATCAAATGCAGATGCAAAAGAAGTCAAGCTTTCATTTTACTGTAGTTAACTAAACAAGTATTTATTTCAGTAGATTATTACTTTACTGATTTTCTTTGTTTTTTAGTTTTCATAGCATTTTGCCAGATTTCGTATGATTGATTCTTAACTTACCATGTTGTGGTAAAATGAAAACATTAGAGTGATCTGTTCTTCATGAAACCACAATTTAAATTACAACATTTTTCAGTTATCTAAAAAGCACCTTTGGTGTTTTTGCACAAAGCATCGGAACGATATGGCTTGAATTTTACTCCGTATTGGATCGGAAAGGAAATCAGTGGAACGTCACTACATCGCAGATTTCATCCAAACTAATAACTCTGCAGCAAACAGAGTTATTAGTTTATAAGCTTTTATTTGATGTAAAGAGGAAATAAAGAAATGTCACTGACGTGAAGGAGACATGGAAGAAGCGTTACTGGTTTGTTTCCAGCTGCAGAAGCTGCTGGAACTGGGAGGAAAAACGTCTGCCAGTCAGATTTTCTGCTTCGTGAATCGTCTTCTTGTTTTCTTTGGAGCTTTTGTTTCTGCAGCAGCTGCTGCGATCAGAAATTCATTTTCCGCTTTGCTGTTGCGTAAGCTCGTCTTTGTGCGGCGTGAAATCCACCAGTTTGAAGTTAATTTTAATCCGAGCCCAAAAACATCAGCAGACATCGCTGGAGTCAAAAAGGGTTTGGTTGCATCACCCTGACGCGTGATTCCACGAAAATATGACAACATGACAAATGAATTACTGAAGGCGTCAAACCATCCGAGATGTTGGGAGCGAAATGATGCAGCGTGAAGGAAGAGGGACACAAACACACCACCAGAAGGAAAGAAGAGAGGCGGAAGGAAAAAGGAGCAAAATAATAAAAACATGAAAAATGGAAAGAGACATAAAAAGAAAAATGCAGAAAAATAAATATAAAAAGTAAAATTTAAAAAGAAAGTCATTATTTTATTTACATTTTTTTCATTTCAATAAAAGAAAAATGGGGAAAATGAATAAAAAAAACAATTTAAAGAAGAAAGTAAAGGAATAAATAAAATAGGAATAAATGAAAAAAAGAAAAAGAAATTAGGAGAAAAGTGGGAAAAAAACAAAATATAGAGGAAAAAAGCAGGTTAAAAAGAAAATTAAGAAATCCAGAAAGGAATACAAAGGACATTATTTTAAAAAATAAAATAAAAATGCAAAGAAAAAAAAAAGAAAAAGTAAAGGAGAGGACCATCGACCTGACATGTCGGAGCTGGACGGACTCACAGCCGGTTGGTTGATTTAATAAGAATATTTATCCTCACACTCTAAACTTTCCCACATTTTGTCACATTACAAAACATAAAGTCGTCCACAACAGAGAGAGAAACAAAAACACAACGTGTGGGATCCATCTGCGACTCTTCAGGCTTTTCCAGTACCAACTTTCACTTCAAACTGAATTTATGCTCATGGTGCTGGTTGTTCTCTACGGAACCTCAAAAGAGCCAAAAATAATGTTCAACGTTAAAAAAAAAACATTTCTGGGTCAGAAAATCTTGAATCCAAAGTCACAGAATCATTTCTCACTTTATCTAACTGGCTATAGTTTTTGCGTCATTTAGCTTCAAACAAACATGAATTCATGCTTTTAAAGCACAGAATGACAAGCTAAGATTGTTTTGTACGTAAATAAAAAGGTAAAACGGTTGAACTGCGACCCGGTTGTATCTGAACCCCAGGATCTGTTGAACACAAAACGTCCTCAGTGAAAAGCCATCAGTAAAACCAGATCAAAGCGGGAAAACGGTCCAGTAGGAGAGGAAATCACTCACAGGAGCGCTTGATTTTATGGCCCTCACGTCCCAGCCGCATCAGATAGCCATCAGCCGGGAGAATAAATCAGCTCAAACTGCTGCGTCTCTTTCTGCAGACGCCGCTGTTGCTGCAGCGATAGGTAAACAAACCCGGACAAGAGTTATGTGACGGAGATTACTCAGCGGAGTTCGGCCTCCGATGAGCGGCTTGGAGCCAGGCAGGACGACAAAGCAAACATGCAGGGAGGGCTTTTAAGTTTCACCTTTGTCTGGGAAAAGCTACTGGACCAGAGCTGAACTGTGACCAGCCTGAGTCAATAAATCCTGCAGAACCGGAGGAAGAGATGCAAGACTCCCAACCGGTGAAAACTGGAAATTACTGCAGAGAGACAGAGAAATAATAAACCAAGGAAACAAACTACTTCAGGAAAAACATGAATAAAGTTCATTTTGAGGGTAAAACACGTTAAAATCCAACACAGAAGAGAAAGACTGAAACAAAACAGTAAAATGTGAAGGTGGTGAGAAACAGAGGATCTGGACGAAGCAGAGAGAGGGAAGGTGAGAGGCAGAGCGAGCAAAGGGCAGCTTGTTCTGGGTCTCAGGGGCAACTTCAACACCACACTTCACAGGATAAAAATACTCCTGCCCCCTACTGACCGGGAGGGAGAAAAGGAGGGAGAGAGAGAGCAAAGGAGAGAGAGAGTAGGAGACAGAGAGAGAGAGACTAAACTTGTGTTAAAGCGGACTGGAATCGTATTAAAGCGGACTGGAGTCGGGTTAAAGCGGACTGGGGTCGGGTTAAAGCGGACTGGAGTTGGGTTAAAGCGGACTGGAGTCGGGTTAAAGCGGACTGGATTCGGATTAAAGCGGACTGGATTCGGATTAAAGCGGACTGGAGTCGGGTTAAAGCGGACTGGAGTCGGGTTAAAGCGGACTGGAGTCGGGTTAAAGCGGACTGGGGTCGGGTTAAAGCGGACTGGAATCGGATTAAAGCGGACTGGAGTCGGGTTAAAGCGGACTGGAGTCGGATTAAAGCGGACTGGAGTCGGGTTAAAGCGAACTGGATTCGGATTAAAGCGGACTGGAATTGGGTTAAAGCGGACTGGAGTCGGGTTAAAGCGGACTGGAGTTGGGTTAAAGTGGACTGGAGTCGGGTTAAAGCGGACTGGAGTCGGGCTAAAGCGGACTGGAGTCGTATCAAAGCGGACTGGAGTCGTATCGAAGCGGACTGGAGTCGGATCGAAGCGGACTGGAGTCGGGCTAAAGCAGACTGGAGTCGGGCTAAAGCGGACTGGAGTCACATTGATATGCTGACATAATGCTGATGTGCATCAAAGCATCTCCACTTGCAGAAAGTTTCTCTTCTG